TAGTATTTTATATTCATTACGAAGCAGAATAACTTTGTGATAGCTTAATCAAAAGTTGTAAAAAGACGTGTCCGGATGACAAACTTGTAGTCACATTCACGTGAGTCATTTTTTATACGCCATTAGTGAATCTGCAGCATTTCACCGAACTCTGAGTCATCTTGTAGTATCATCATTGGGAATCTAGGAGGGAGCACGTCGTTATTTTATAACGTAATATACTTCCGGTTCCTATACGATATTTCTTCAAATAAATTTGGACGTTGAAAAATTTATTCTCCATCTTAAAATTTCGGACAACAATGAGGCGACATCTCTGAAGGAGGAGACGAAACTAGCTATCAAATATGGAGGGTATAATACTCGCTTTCTTACTTTTTATTCCTCGTATATCTATTTTCTTCTAATTCAAAGTTACAAATTTTCAAATGTCAGAAAATAAAAATTTAACAGTCATCGAGAGCTGTAAGAAAAGTATAATCAATCTCTTTTGAAAATAAAACGTAATTATTGTATTTAGGGTTAGGTTAAATACTTCCCTTTGCAAATAAAGGAATCAATTTGGAAACTCATTGAAAAAGGAAAATATAACGAAAGGCATTGTATAATAACAAAGGATTGCCATTAATAGCAACCAAAAATCATAGAATGGCAAATTGTTATTTCCTCTTTCATAAGAGGTGATTGACGCCTCCTCTATTCGAATAAAACCTTCACACGCGTGAATCATGAATCGACGTACGTAAATTTTCAAATATTCCCGCGTTATTCCATGTATTATACGTGTATTGTACCTCGCTGCTTTGTCTATTCTGAACGAGTAATTTACTCCCATTAAGTATCCTCTCAGGGCCACAAAAATTACATTTTACCATCTATCAATCATTTCCTGTTCCTTTTGTAGTCCGTAGTTTCTTGTACATTTCCTTTTTGACACCCTGTATATAGGTATGCATAGACGTTATTAGTGTACGAACAGTAATTATAAATGTACTATATAGCAACGAAGAATAAACATCTACGCACTGCTTATTGCCAATCGAATATTTATCCGAATCGCGTTAAATCAACTATCACAAAATGCCAACTATATCAGTCGCTAGGAATCATCCATCTCTGATAACGCTTTATCAGTGACATTCTTTGTCTCTTCTCCAAACGCTTTTACGCCAGACGTGAAACCTCACCGGAAACAATAATTTGTTTTCTTTCGTCCGTCACGTTGTTTGCTGACTGAACGTCCAGTCAAGGCTCGAGCCTCGACAGCCATTGGTTCCCGTTCGTTTGTTTTAATACCACGCGCTCGACCGAATGATCTTTGTCGTTGAACGATGTTTGACGTTGACTCGTCGATTTTTCCAAAAGCTACTGGTCACCTCTGTTTTCCTTTTTTCCCGGTGCTACCGATTTCTGCCCATGGAAACACGGGTGTTTTCAACGCGACGAATGGTCAAACATGCGTCCGGTCTCTCAAGGTCTAGAAACGTTAAAAATCCACGCTCTTTATTCGGAGCCGGTCGAACGAGTAGTGGCGTGCTGCAGCGCACACTTGCGTGCGCGCGCAGCGAGCAGGGAATGACTCCAAGCGATCCAATGAGATACAATCTGATTGGCTCTTCGTTGCCGGGACGCTTTGGCTCTTCATTATCGCAGCTTGGAATTTGCTTTATACTAGTAAACCGTGTCATGATTGGTAAATGTTTTAAAATTTGTACGATTAATTGAAATTCCTTGGCTAATAAGGTATTATTATTCTGTACTTTTAATATTTTATTTCTATAATAGTATACATATGTTGGTGGATACTTTGGATATTTAGTGACAAATTTAAAGAACGTACAATACAATCGAATTTAGAGGTTATAATACTTTATAACGAAGATGTTACGAAGTTCTCTATTACGAAGTAAAGAAGTTTTTGTGTAACCAAAACGCGTAGGAATTTATTTGCAAATTGAATTCTTATTCACGTTTATCTTTTCAAGGCTTTCGAAACGACACTAAGTACAAGTCATAGTGTATACATATCTGGTGTTACACGTAAGATCTGGCAGAACGATAGAATAGTAATTTGGATTTTGGTAAAGCTTCTAGTATTTGGGTTTCTTTTAGTTTGAAGATTCACAGGTAATTAAGTTCAATTCCATAGAGTATGTGCTAGATGAGATGGCATATAGTACCAAGAAATAGAAATAGAGTATGCAACTGATCCTGGGTTCTAATCCTGTAATTCTTTTTTCTCCTTTTCCATATTCTTAAACTATTTTCAATTCAAATACCGCTTGCTTTATCTTGCATTAAGTATGCTTGGGAAGTAAGATATCACTATGCCAAAGTCACATGTAACTTTGCGTCAAAAGCTGAATGTGTCTGTAATTGTGACTACTTTGGGTTTCAGAATCTGGATATTTTATTTTTACTATATTTTGCCTCCCTTTGTTAAATATCGTTTAATTTTCTTAACTTATATCTTCTATTCATTTAGAAACTTACATTTTCTTAAAAATTACTTATTTTTGTATTATTTTGGAAATTGTCGTACTTCATTTGTTTCGGCCAAAAATTTTTTAATTTTGAATTTACATTTTTCTTGGAAATGGCTTAATTTCATACGATTTGAAATTTATTTTTTGTCAGTTTTCAATATAATATTTGAAGATTGCATCTTGTTTTCCCTTGATAAAAATTGTTTAATTCTTTAATTCATATTTTGTTAGAAATTCTTTAATTTTGGAATTTATATATATATTTTTTAATTGTTTAATTTTGTGTAATTTGGGATTAATTCCTTAGTAATCATCAGTAGTACTTTAATAAGAAGTCATTGCTAGTTCCGAGTTCCGAGTGCACGTAGCCTAATTGCTGACGTGGTATCGTTTTACGAAATCATCATAATTTCAATGCTAGCTGTGCGTAGCGTAATATACCTCTTTTGGGGTACTTTAAAAGCACTTTGTCACTTCATTAAGATATGTAATATGTTCGATGTAATATATAATACCTCGTATTCGTTACGTTTTGCATTTCATATTAGCAGATCTTTCATATATTATCAGCACGACCATAATCAATCAATTGCACTTTCTTCTCACATTTTTATCATTTCTTTTTATTTCCATATTACTTTCTGTATTTCAATATAATAAACATAATTTAACATAATAGAGATAAACTCGTATATCTCTATATAATAAATTTATTATAATATTATAATAAAATAATATTCCATATTATTTACGGTATTCCAATAAAATAAACATAATCTAACATAATACTAAAACTCCTACATCACTTCCCATATTTCAAAATTCCTATACAATAAACACCATTACAATGACATAATAAAATACTCTATATTTATTTTACAGTGTACCATGACTCAAAGTTACAATTTTCAACGTACATTTTCCTTCCATTTCAAACTCCAATTAGTTCGAATATCTCGTTATCGACGCTGCTAATTAATTTAGCCGATATAATCAGACGTTTCTTCCCGATTCAGCTCGCGCTGGAATAATAATTGTTCGTACGAACGCGTATGACGCGCGCGTCTTTTGACGTATAGGAAACGACTTTTGGAATTGGACTCTGATATCATGCGTGCCAAGCTGCACCGATCGCAACTATTTCATTATTTCGATCCGGCGAATTTTACGATTTTGTTACGAGACTCGCGATGATGATTCAGACCGAGCTAGTGATACCGAACGAATGCATCCATCGTTCGAGTGATTCACGCATTCGCGACAACAATTACACTCAATTATGGTCGAATGTAACACGTCCAGGCGATCGCAAGGACGTAAATAAAAGTTAATTGATAATGGAGACACCGAGACTACCGGGGGATTCGCGGGATTAGTTCGAAGTGGATCATAAAAGAGTTGGAATGGAGGAAGTGGGTGGTAGATTTTTGGATCGTTTAATTGGATTGGTATTGAGTTATTTCTGCATCCTTCCCTGGAGGTATTTTCGTACTTTTTCTTTCTTTCTTATGTCGAATTATTTTTGCATTTTTCTATAGGAATAGACTTATATTAATTTTGCATGGATAATTTGGATAAAGTTTGTATTATTCTTTTGGAATATTCCCGTATTATTTCTCTTTTTATTATAGTGGGTTATCTTTGGATTCATTTGTTGCAATATTCCTGTATTACTTGGGAGGTAGTTTTGTATTTTCTTTTCTTTGTTATGTCGAATTATTTTTGCATTTTTCTATGGGAATATTTTTATATTAATTTTGCATGGATAATTTGGATAATTTTTGCATTATTTTTTTTTGAATATTCCTACGTTATTTCTTTCTTTATTATACTAGATTATCTTTGAATTCATTTGTTGCAATATTCCTGTATTACTTGGGAGGTAGTTTTGTATTTTCTTTTCTTTGTTATGTCGAATTATTTTTGCATTTTTCTATGGGAATATTTTTATATTAATTTTACATGGATAATTTTGATGATTTTTGGATTATTCTTTAGGAGGAATATTCTGCATTATTTCTTTGGGTTATCTTTGGATTCATTTGTTGCAATATTTCTGTATTATTTCTCTATTGTTATTTTTGAATTAATTTATTGCAACATCCAGCATTGCAAAATTAATTTTCTATTTTATTGAATTATTTTTATCATCATTCTGTTATATTATTTTCTAATCAATTTTCAAATATCTCATTCCATTATTTATTTATTATTTTTTAATTGTTCCATTGCATTATTTTTTCATCATTTTTCAACTGCTACTCTGAATTATTTTTTTATTACTCTTTGATTATGCCTGTATTCCTATTGAATTATTCGTTTAATCACCTTGGAATCGTTGTTGCATTATTTGGCACTATTTCTGAATTATTAATTGCAAATTAAATAATTTTACTTCGGAATTTTCCAACCCTTATGAGTAAAACGTATCTTAAAATTTTCTTTAAATGTACCAATTTCGTTTTTAATACAACGTTAAGAAATTTGTTATGAGAAATAAAGTATGACACTAACCTGTTATATTCAATCCAGCAAAAGCTTGGAACTCCGATATTGCTTTCGATAGTGTATCCTGCGATATGATTCCACCACTTGTTGGATTGATAGGCTGCAGGTATCCAAACTGAGACAGGTAGTTCTGCAACAGGTAAATAGAGTTTGCTTAGCAAATTTGCTTTATTTTTAACACAATGCACAAAGCGAAAAATATTTATCTTTTAATTAAAAATTCGATCCATGCAAAACATGTTTTCTAATAAAATATTAACCTTTAATTCATATTCCATTTTCAGCATCCATTCACTATCATTTTTCGATGAATAGGAATTCTTAATTAACAAATTAACGAAAAAATTCTATTATCTCGAAATAGTAACAAAGAAGAAAATAATATTATAATACATTATTACAAACAATAGTCTGTAGTAACGTAATTATAATATACACTATAATAGTCTGATATTATAGTGTACATAAATATTTTAATATTAAAATATTATACTATACATAGTAATTAAGTACACTAAATATATTTATTTATATTTCGGTTAATTATTATAATTAATATAATAATATACAATAACGTATTAATATTTCCACGAATAAATACAGGAATTTAAAAATTCCACTAGACTAGTGACAAAAAGGTTCACGGTCCCTCAGTTGATAATCGAACCGCTAGATATCGCACGTTGGAAAAATATAAATGGGACCAGATGACTGATGTCCGAGGGGATTGACCTGACCAGTGGCTCTATTGCGGTATGATACAGTTATTTAGCCACTGTGAGGAAAGGGAATTAATATTCCGGCGAATAAAAACGCGTGTACGTGCTTCCGTTTTCCTCGTTCCCTATTCGAGGCTGAATCACACCAGATTTTGGTCGATCGAACTGACAAACGTTGTTTGTTATCTTACGGATCTCCTGGCGGTGATGAACTTGCTTCTCGTTTCTCACAATAAACAGGCCATTGAGTGAGATGGTAATAAAATTCTTTTTATAACTGCGTATCGAGCTGAGAATTAGAAAATAAATTGCGAAAGTCGTTTGTTTTCTTGTGACACTGTTTTATATTTTTATAGAAGAATTATTGGATTTTTGAAAGATTTATTCTCTATAATCGGGTCCTTCTTTATTTTCGAATTTTTGAAGTTATTTGTGTATTTTTCAGTGATACAAATATAGTCTTTCTTCTTTGTGAGAGAAGGAATATGTTTCGTTGGAGTCTTTTGCTTTGATTAGAAAAAGGAAAATTAATAATCAATTATTGTTAAAGTATTATATAATTAGATATAGGTGTATAGATGTAAGTATAGCTATAGGTAAAATTGACAAATTTGTAAAAAGCGCATTTGGCTAGTTTGACTTTTAAAAATTAAAAATAGCGGAAAATAAAATTCTTCGCAAATCTATGATATTTTTATTAATAAATTTGTGAGTATTTTTATGAGTAATATAAATCTTTTGAAAATTTTGAAATTTTTTATTAATTATAATTTCTTTGATTTTCTTTCTTTTTTTGGTTTTTTCTAAAAGACAAAGTAAGTTCAATAAAATCCAATAAAATTCTATTTGTAGAATAATAAGAAACTAGTTACCAAACGGATGTTCTATCACGTAACAGTTATCCTCCAATAAGCAGAAAACCACAATGTAGTATGAAGAACTATGAGTTACCAATATTTCTATTACCAAGAACCCTCGTCAATCTAAGTACATTTCTATCCACACCTGATTCATTCATAAACTGCACAATTTACTATTTTCTCATTAAAATACACGCATCATACAAATTTCATAAATACATCCTGATGTCCAAGAAAATACTACGCAGCACAGTTTCCTCTGATTCTTTTTATTTTTACACCATCTATTGAATTCATATACATAGGTATACACTTAACCTATACACTCATACCTATCTTGGAAGATTTTCTTAAATTCCTCATTTACTAAATTAAATTCCTAAATTACTATTATGGAAGAATTTCCTAAATTCCTATTATCATCGTGTATTTTTCGTTCATCGTTTTAATTCAATGATTCGAGTAATAAGTTCCTCCATGAACTCAAATGGCCAAGCAACATTAGTTAGAACGCCTAACCTAACCTAGAAAAGTCCAAAAAGTATATGGTTTGAATTAAATTTTGAACTTTACTCACGGATTGTGCGTAATTTTAAGTTCATTCTTATGCTGGATTTAGAAGTACTCCTCCTAATTTTATTTGCAACATATATACCGAAATACGTCTAAAATAACAAAAATGTTTGAGGTTAATTGACGAATCCTAAGACGAAAATTACGTTGATACTCTGCCAATGACATTTCAATAAACCGTGACACGATCATTGGAACATGTTTGTAAATTATATTAAGTGGCGCCATCGATTGATAGCAAAATGATATTGCCAAAGTCGTGTCACTTAAGATCATGTTTAATTTCTAGCTCTAGATGTTCAATGAGAAACATTAAAATGGTGAAAATTATTATTAACTATGAATTTCAACTATCATTTTGTATTAATAAAAATTGTGAGTATTCTCTAATTATCTAATTATTAAAATCCTCATATTAAAAAATTTTACGATTTCTATGATAAATATATGTAAATAATTTCCAAAATATCGATTTGTTTAAAAAATGTGCTAAAAATTGATATTTCTTTATTAATTTATTTAGTTATCTTTACTCTGACAAATATAGATAATTACCAAAAAAATATCTTTTAATCGGTCATAAATATAGTTGTTGAAAACTAATTATTAATCGAGGAATGAAAAATTACTAGATACAATGAAAATTACTAGATTAATAGAAATAGAAAATTGTGGAAAAATTAAATTGTCTCATGTGACAAGTGTCGCCCTCTCTAACCTTTCTTAACTATTCCAGTGGACAGTATTCCCTCGACTGACTTTACGAATGTGCTATATAGGGCTTAGCAACCATAAGCTCAGCCTCTGCTGGATCCTCGTAAACGCAAAGCTATGCTGTGACTCACGTTACAGTAACGGATAAAAGAGATATTCATTCGAATAATCGATGTGCATGCTGTGATCCGGTGCATTCTTGTTGCTCAGAGACTCGGCGAGACGGAAGCCTTGAACGAACAACCATGATTCATCTTTGCAGCGAAATAACCTCTCTGTGCTATATTTTTCCTGCTTGAGAACCTTGCTGTTAATATATACATACACGGTAGGAGATTTTGAATGAATAATCATGAATTGATTCAAGAATTGATTTTGAGAGTTAGATTGGAATGTTGTAGAGTTTGAGTTTCCTGGGGATATCAGGAAGGATTGTGATTCATATTTATATTAAAGTAAGATGGGAAGAGAGTAAGAAGGTTAATTCTTGTGGATTGAATTGATACGAGAGAAGAGAAGGCAAATATTAAGTGATAAATGAGGGTATTTGATTTGTATTGGTATTGAGATAAGACATGCAGAGTGTATGGATGTTAATTTTTGTGAATGGTTCCATTAGTATCAAAGAAGAGAAGGCGAATGGTTGAATTTGTGTGAGAGAAAAGGAAATGAATATTGAATGAATGGGAATATTTAATTTGTACGTATGAATCTGATTTATATTTGATTCGTATGAGAGAAAATGAGATGAATATTAAGTGGCAAATGGTGATATTTGAATTGATATAGAAGATGAATATTGTGAAACTGTTATGGTAATATACAGATAAGATCTGATATGCAGAGTATCAAGTAAAACAACAGTAAATGTAAATATTTGATAATAATCGGATAATAGTAATTTAATTATATTTTAACTGTGGTTTCATTTGATTAGACATTTAGTCAAATTCATATTCTGGACTCTGAATCCCCAGTGCTATCTTTCAATTCATTGTTCTCAACTCTTTGATCTTGATACACGTGTATACATTTTTCACAGTTTTTTATTTTTGTATATTCTTTCTTCAATTTGGAATATTTCTAGATGATATTCTAATATACCTATACGTTCCATTTCTTTATAGCATAATATGTAGCACTTAGTTCATAGTTCTAATAATCTAGACCAGGTGTATTCCTTTCACATCTCCAAAACATATATCTAATTACTCCTTCTTTATAGTACTCTGGATTAAACGATGTATATCAAGTATATATAATACTCTAAATCTATTATTTTTCTTTCAGATCTTTAACACTGTAGATGAAGTGCTATCTCATTCATATTTCTAACACTTTAGACCAAGTGTATTTCTTTCACATTTCCAAGACTCTAGATCTAATTACTCCTTCTTCATACCTATAGCACTCTGAACTATATAATGTATATCAAGTATATATAATACCCTAAATCTAGTATTCTTCTTTCAGATCTTTAACACTGTAAATTAAGTGCTTCTTATTCATTTCCAGCACTTTAGACCAAGTGTTCTTCTTTTGCATCTCTAACACTCCAAACCAATAGTTCCTCTTTCATATCTCTAATACTCCAGAGTATACTTCTTGCACCCCAGACTAAGTATTCTCCTTTCACATCTGTGACACTCTAGATCAAGTGCTGCTCTGTCACAAATCTATTGCTCCATTCCAATTACTACTGACATGTCTCACAAAACTTTATTAGTTAAAATTTAATATACAGGCCAATACTCGGATCATCAATTGAAAGAATCAAATGATTTATGTACCAACCTACAAGATGATGGAAGTATCATACTTGGTTTCCAGAATTGAAACAAACAGCTTGTCAAGCGACTACGGTAACTTCAGTTTGCATATGCAAAATATGTATCTTAGTAGCGAATTATTCTGTCCTTCGGCTACTATATTTAATACGGTGCATTCCTTTCTAAACACGTAGAATTCGACCAGAATTCCACGAAACACGAACATCAAGTGCATCTCACGAGATCACAGGGAACGCTTATGTAAATTACTTCTGCTCTTATGGATTTGGACTCGATGCAACGTACGTGAGATCGACGAAAATAAACATCGCCATTTGCATTTCGCAGCGAAAAAATAACCTCTTGGAACAAGACTATCGATTTTCCCTGCTTTCCACAAGTCCTCGAGACGAAAGTTAGAAAAATGAAGACGAAGTGCTACAAGAAGAATTAATTCTTAAATATTCGAATATATTTTGAAAGCTAGATTGAACG